CCCCAGAGATCTCTGTGTGGGGGACACTGGGGACAAGGACAGCCATGGGGCTCTGGGACCCACAGCATGTCCCCCCCCCTCCCTGCCTCCCCTCACTTCAGGCTCTGGTGGCAGCAGGGTCAGGGCCAGCGCGTCCCCTGGTTCTCTCCCAGTGTGCTGGGGCTCACCTGTGGCCGTGGGATTTGGTGTCCCCTGCCCCCCAGCTCTCTGGGGACGCGCCTCCGCCTGCCCCATCCCCAGGCAGCAGATGGTCCCAGCAGGGGGAAGCGGATGTCCCCGAGCCCCATGGCTGCAGCACGTCCCCCCCATCTTGGGGACATTGGGGTCAAAGCGTCCAGGTCCGGGAGGGACACAGGGACACTTTCTCCCTCTCCCTGGCCCCAAGGTCTCATCGCAGACGCCCAAAAATAGCCGGGAGCTCGTGTTCAGCCACCTCCCGCCAGCACTGCCTCTGAGCGGGACCCCCTTGCCTTGCATCCCGGGGGGGGACAGGCACCCCATAGGATGGGTGTCCCCTACACTGGCTGGGACACCCCACAGGGCACAGCTCCCCAGGGAAAGATGGACAATTTATTCCCTGGACAAGTCCCCAGGGAGCAAGAGCCCCCACTCACACCCACCCACACGGCCCTGAAGGGGACGAAGAGGGCAGGGGCTGTCCCCTGTCCCCTCACCCTCCTGGGCATCGGTGTCCCAAATCTGTATGGCCCTGGTCCCCATGCACGCTCTCAGGCTCCCCCCAAGACAGTGGAACCACGAGATGTGGACGTTCACACATATGACTGCCCACGCACACAGACACCCATGCACAGGAGCCCCCATGCTGACAGACACCCACCACACACATGGGTGCCAATGCACACAAGCACCCATGCACATGAACACGCATGCACACGCCTGCCCATACACACGGACACCCCCCCACACAGACACCCACCTACAGAAGCTCCCATGCATGTGGACACCCATGCTGACAGAGACCCATCACACACAGGTGCCCAGGGACATAAGCACCCATCCACACAGGCACCCACACATATAAACACAACTGCACATGGGTGCCCATGCACATGGACACCCATGCACATGGACACCCGTGCACACGGACACACATGCTGACAGAGACCCACCATGCACATGGGTGACCGCACACGTAAGCACTTGTGCACACAGACACCCACACACATGAACACACACGCACACAGACATCCACCCACAGGAGCACCCATGAACATGGCCACCCTGTAGATGCACACACATGCACACTGACACCCATGTGCACAACACCCATGCACACGGATGCACAAAGGTGCCCACACACATGGGTGCTCCATGCACAGAGGCACCCATGCATGCAGACTCCCGTGCACACGGGTGCCCATGCACATGCACACACATGGATGCCCACGCACATGGATGCCCACGCACACACAGCTCCACATCCCGGCTGGGGCTGGCCTCTGCACCAAGGGATAGGCAGCTGGTGTCCTTGCCTGAGAGCCTGGGGGTGGCCAGGGCCACCCTGGGGTGCTGGACACGGGGACTGCTGGACATGGTGGCCCCATGGGTGGCCCTCTACAGCTTTCCCAGACCCAGTCACCAGCCTGGCGGTGGCCAGAGTGGACCTGGGCTTCAGGATTTATTTGCTGGTCCCACAGCGACAGCTATAGGTGACCATCTGTGATGGAGCTGGGTCCAGCACAACGTGCAACCGCTCTGCCTGGCTCTGGCCGCCAGCCAGCAAACCCCAGCCTGGGAATCCAGGCCCTGGCCTGGGCAGGATCTGGGCAAGCCAGTTCTTCCCGGCCTCTCGCCTCCCCCAGCCCCTCGGTGCCCGGGCAGGAGGGTCCCTGTCCCACCTGCCAGCAGAAGTGGAGGTTTTGGGGAGCATGGCCAGAGCCTGGAAAAACCCGACTCCGTTTCTTGCACATCCCAAAAGCACTGCAGGACGCAGGTGGCCCTGGTCACTGCTGCTTCCCCCTCCCTGGGTTTTCCCCAGGGATATGGGGGGGGGGAACCCAGGACTGCAGGCATGGGGACCCATGGGTAGCCCCAGCATGGGGGGCAGGGTGATGTACAGGGCTGGGGATGCCCAAACCAGCATCACCCTGCCCACCCCCTCTGAAATCACCAACATCCTCCCCAGAGGCAGAGCTGCCTCCGTCCTGCAGGGACACAGGGCCACGCAAGAGGGTGACTCAGGACAAGGAGCCAAGCCCCCCCGCACTCCTGGGGCAGGGAACACCCTGGGGTGCTCCGATCCCTGGTGGGACCCCCGTGTGCTGGCTGCTGGAGCAGAGGGGTGGGCTGTGCTCAAGGGCTGGGGGGTGTGTGTTGGGGTTGTGCAGCGCTTCCCTCCCCTACCCCCCCCCTTGAAAAAGATTTCTGGATCACCCAGGAAGAAAGGCCAGGAGACAGCAGTGGTACCCAAAACATCACAGTGAACACCACACTCAGCTAGAAACAGCCGCGGGCTGCCCCGCCACGCGATGCTCCCCCCATGGCGGGGGGGATGACGCCCGATGGTCTCGCCGCGGTAGCACCGAGGAAAACCCAGAGGACTCTGGCCGTGCCAGGAAAGCTGGGCTGATGCTCCGCAGCCTCCTCTTTCCTCCGCTGGTCAGCAATGTCCCCCCCCAGGAGTGGGGTTAGGACGTGTCTTTCAGCTCGGGGCTGGGGGGCTGCGGAGGGGGCGCCTCCGCCGAGGGCGACTGCATCTCCTGGGCGCTGCCTGCCAGGAGAGACGACGATATGAGCAACCCCGGTTCCTGGCCGCCCCGCGTTGTCTCCCATCTTCCCCATCACCTACCTGCGTTCAGGGACATCTCGGCCAGCTTGAGGGGCAGGTCAGAGGGGCTGACGCCGGCTGGCGAGCCCAGGATGTCGGGCAGGGCATTGCGCCGGCCCGTTCTCCCGGAGGATGCGAAGTCCAACACGGGTTCCACCTCGGTCATGGTAACCCTGGGGAGACACGGTCCCCTTCCCCATCAGCACCGCTGGGCAAGGTGGCGCGCAGCCCCAGGGTGGCTCTGATCCAGGCAGGATGCCCCTGTTCAGGGCAGGCAGCATCCCCTGCCTGCAGCTGCCCGGGGAGTGGGGCTAAGCCCTGCGCAACCCCATGTGCCCACCCTGACTGCAGGCTCCCCAGCAGCGAAGGCAGGGGCCACCCTGCCTGTGGGACTGCCCTGTCCTCAGGGTTGGCACCTTTGGGTGCTGTGACCTCCACTGCTCACTGCATCATGGATGAAGGGGGGGTCCTCAGGGATCCCACCAGTACCACACCACCCCCTGCCCCCAGCAGCCTTACCGGGCACCCTCCAGCCTGGCCTGGCGCTGCTTCTCCCCTGCTCTGCTCTCTGGTCTGGAAGTTCCCCCTCTGGGTGTCTCCCAGCCCGCGAGGGACCCCACGGGAGATGGGGGCTCCTGGCTCGGTCCCCTCTGGCTCCAACCTGGGGGGAGGCAGAGCAGAGGGTCAGCGATGGCTCCTGAGGCTGGTGCCCATGGGGTGGGAAGGAGGGAGTGGGGAGCCCGTCTGGGGGTGGGAGAGGCTGTGTCCCCATGCCGGGCACCCACAGCACCCTGGGTGGTGACACCAAGCTGGGCTGTGAAGGTCAGGGACCCCTCGTCCCTGGTGGGCAGGCAGGAGGAGGTGATGGCAGCAAGGGATGGGTAGAGAGCAGAGATGGGGAGATGGAGGTGGCAACCAGCGGGGAGGCGGGACAGCAAGGGAGGCTGAGAGGGCACAGTGGGAGCAGCTGCAGTGCCATGGGACAAGGGCACGTTGTCCTCAACTTGGGGACGCCCCTGTGTCCCCTGGGGAGCGGCTCTTGCTGAGCCAGGGCAGGCAGTGGCGATGCCAGGGTCCCCTCGAGCAGGTGGGGGGCGTCTCCCAGGAAGCCCCTGGCACTGGGTACCATGCAGATGCCACCAGCGTGGATCCGACCCCGGTGCACACCGCTGCTGGGACCTTACTGGGATGTTTGCTCACCACCGGTAAATATTTTTGCAGAAGGGTTTTGCAGCTGCAGGTGGGAGGTGGCACAAGGGTGGCACAGGAGCTTGCAGGGACAGGGGTGGCCTCCACCCTCCCCAAACCCACGCTACCCACTCATGGGGCATGGGGACCCCCAAGCCATCACCCAAGCAACCCCATCCCCTCCAGGCCAGACACTGGTGGCAATGCTGGGACTGGCGTCCCCCAGCTGGTGGCAGTGGGAGCTTGTCTTGCTGTGGGGGGCATGAACTCACCAGCGTCCCCCTGGGAATCACTCTCCGGCAGAGGACGAGCCAAGGTCCCCAAGTCCTTGGGCGCAGGCGCTGTGCTGAGCAGGACGAGTGACCCCGGCTGCCTGCGAGGAGAAAAATGAATGATTAACCTGGGCGGTGATGAGTCACAGGGCGGCTGCCCTGCACAGGGCAGGACCCAGGCCCCTTTCAGGTGGGGAAACTGAGGCACAGAGTAAGGCTCGGGGGTGTGATGAGGGCAGGCTTGGCCATGGCTGTGCCATGGCAAAGACCCAGCGGAGGCGCGATGCTCCCTGTGCGGGTGTGCGTGCACACGTGCACCATCTGTGGCACTCTGGAGCTGCGTGCATTTGCGGGTGCATTGGCACATGCGTGTGAACTGGCACATGAGTATGCTTGTTTGTGTGCATCACCTCTGGCTGGGCTTCTGTGCGTGAGTGTACGTGTACAGGCAGCTGGAGCTGAGCCCCAGGCTCTGCATGCGCGGTGCTCTCTGGTGCACATGTGCATGCATGGCGTCCTGTGGCACACACATGTGCATGCTTGGCATCCCCTGGCACATGTGTGTGCATACGTGATGCATTGTAGCACATGTCTGTGCATGCACAGCACACCAGCACACGAGTGTGAATGCATGGTGCATTGTAGCACATGTGTGTGAATGCCTGGCATCCCCTGGCAGACGTGTGTGCATGCATTGTCCCATGGCACATGTTTGTGCATGCATGGCACCCCCAGCACATGTGAGTGTGCATGCGTGGCACCCTCTGGCACACGCGTGTGCATGCGTGCTGCATTGTGGCACATTCATGTGCATGCATGGCATCTCCTGGCACACGTGTGCATGCCATGTGTCCTGCATGCACGACAACACACAGGTGCACTCCTACATCAGCATGAAGGCTCCTGCCAGCTCCTGGTAGTGGTCCCCTTTCAGGTGGGGAAACTGAGGCACAGAGTAAGGCTCGGGGGTGTGATGAGGGCAGGCTTGGCCATGGCTGTGCCATGGCAAAGACCCAGCGGAGGCGCGATGCTCCCTGTGCGGGTGTGCGTGCACACGTGCACCATCTGTGGCACTCTGGAGCTGCGTGCATTTGCGGGTGCATTGGCACATGCGTGTGAACTGGCACATGAGTATGCTTGTTTGTGTGCATCACCTCTGGCTGGGCTTCTGTGCGTGAGTGTACGTGTACAGGCAGCTGGAGCTGAGCCCCAGGCTCTGCATGCGCGGTGCTCTCTGGTGCACATGTGCATGCATGGCGTCCTGTGGCACACACATGTGCATGCTTGGCATCCCCTGGCACATGTGTGTGCATACGTGATGCATTGTAGCACATGTCTGTGCATGCACAGCACACCAGCACACGAGTGTGAATGCATGGTGCATTGTAGCACATGTGTGTGAATGCCTGGCATCCCCTGGCAGACGTGTGTGCATGCATTGTCCCATGGCACATGTTTGTGCATGCATGGCACCCCCAGCACATGTGAGTGTGCATGCGTGGCACCCTCTGGCACACGCGTGTGCATGCGTGCTGCATTGTGGCACATTCATGTGCATGCATGGCATCTCCTGGCACACGTGTGCATGCCATGTGTCCTGCATGCACGACAACACACAGGTGCACTCCTACATCAGCATGAAGGCTCCTGCCAGCTCCTGTTAGTGCTGGAGCCATGTCACCTCCTGGTCAGAGTTTCTCATCACACACCATACTTTCAAGTTCATGTCCCTCATCTGGCACCGTGCGCCCCACAGCAACGCCTGCTCGGCTGGCAGAAGCCCTCGGCCCTGCAGCCCCTGCTCAGGGCACCGGGGCCTGGGCAGGCAGCGTGTAGCATCTGTGATGGCCCCAGAGCACCCGCCGTGTCATGCTGGCAGCCGTTTGGGAACAGGGGCTGGGGTGAGCCGGGGCTCACATGCCTGGTGTGCATAATGGTGTGAGCGTGCAAGCACACACATGTGTACACTCGGGTTCTCACACGCAGACACATAAAGCCACGCATGCACACACGCAACCACGCATGCACACACAGCACGCGTAGAGGCGCACATGCACAGGCATGCGTGCACAGATGCATATACACAGGAATGCACACCTGCACACACACGCTGCACACGTACACACACACACACACACACCCCAACTGACTCTTGCACATTCCAGCAAGACCAGAGCCCTGCAGGGCTGGATCAAAGCTGTCTTCCCGGCAGCCCCAGCGGCTCCTGCTGGCTCAAGTGCTGGAGAACCAGGCAACCAACAGCCTTCAGGACCAGGCTGGATCCTGCCCATCTCCTTCCTGCAGCT